TTGACAAAACGTTTCTTTTACTAATTATAAGCAGAGTTTTTTTTGCTTCGTTTTTGTTCCTTGCCTCCGGATTGAACCCCAATCTGTGGAGGTCCTTTCACCTTGGGCGGCGGCGTTTCTTTTGTGGTTTTGTGTGATGTCTCGGTTGTCAGTTGTAAAAATTGAATTCTTGCCTCTTGCCTGGTGTGTGGTGCATGGCTTTTGAAAGATTTATGTGGCAGAGGGGAAAGCACTGGCAGCTGGGGAGGGGAAGGGAAGGGAAGGGTCGCCAATGCCAATGGCCGCGTATCGATAAGCACAATGGGGCACTGGACACCACACTCCCACTCCGCTTCCTCCCTCTCTCTCTCTGTGTGTGTGTGTGTGTGTGTGTGTCTGTAACTGTCACACACACACAGACGACGGCGACAAACTTTTTAATCAAATTTTTTAACGCAATTTCTTTGACTACTTTTTTTTCGAACTCTCTCTCTCTCTCTTTCTCTCCATTTCTGTCTCTGTCTGTATCGTTGCATATGCATGCTCAATTGTGTTTGTATTGGCAAAGGACATGCTTTGTGATTTATACACACATCACACACACACAAACACAGACAGAGACAGAGAAAGAAAGAGAGAGAGAGAGCGAGAGGGAGAGTGGGAGTGTAAGCAAACAACAGCTTTTTTTGATTTATGAGCGCTTTGGGTGCCGCCGCCATCGTCAACGACAAACAGCACAAAAAGCAAAAAACGAGAAACACAAAACACAAAAAATGGGGAAAAAATAAAACACAAAAAAAACCAAACACAAAATCGACAGCTGAATATATTGAAGCGCCGGAAAACTTTTGCACAAGTTCAAGCCATTGGATGTTAATAATAAAACGGAATGCGAAATGAGAAACGATGGAAAGATATTTAGAAAATCGAAAATAAATAAATCTAGGCACCTGAAAAGGAGGAGTACAAAGGATTAGTCGAGCTACGTGATATTTATAAACAACTTTCTGACATATACACCTTTTTCCATTAAAGCTGCATGAAATCTACATGGAAATACTAGAAATTGAGATAATCCAATAAAAATAATTCTAGGCCCTAGAAAAGCAAAGGATCATTCGATCTACATGAAAGCTTTATGAAATCTACTCCTTTTCTCCATTAAAGCTACATGATAAAATATGTGCAATCTACGCCGTTTCTACACAAACGATCCTTTGAGCTGCATGAAAGCTACAACTTTTCTACATTCAAACTACGTGAAATCTACATCGAGCTTACATCCCAATCCTCGAAAAGTGGCGCCACAAGGGATAATTTCAGCAACTTGAAAGCTACACCTTGTCTAAAATTTAAATACATTAAATCTATATCTCAATCCTAGAAAAATGGCGCCACAAGCGATCATTGGAGCTCCATGCAATCTACAGCTTTTCTACATTCTACACCCTTTCTTCATTTAAGCAAAACGACATCTAAACCGTTTCTACACAGAACACTGCACATCTACATATTGCTTCGATCGTTTGGCGCTGGTTCGATACATGCCTGATTCTGTATGATTTCACACGTTTTGGCTTGCAATAAAATTCTTTCTATCGATATTAAGGAGCCTCGATAGCTAGTTCTCTGCTTTGGAGGATCAAAAACTTACAAAATACAGAATGGAAGATTATTTCTCAAGCCCTTCTAGGGCTTTCCACATATTATCTATCTCGCTTATTCTATCCGTTCCGTTTTTTTTTTCGTTCAATTTTTGTCTCGCTTAAGCCCAGCTGTCTATCCTTCTATCTATCGATTATTATTATGTTTTTTTTTTATTAATCCCCCGCTGACAGCATCAGCAAAATGTTATTTATAAATACCAAAAGCGTATGAATTTTAATTAAGCGAAAGCCCGCAATTGCTTTGCAGAGGGAGTCCAAGGGTTTTGGGGTTGCCTGGTTTTTGGCGTGTGTGGCCTGAGCCATTGTCCATATGAAATGTTGATTGATGATTCCCCCCCGTACAGGATCGGATCCAGTCTTCCTTCCATCTATCGATTGTCGCTGTCATAAAAAAAAGAAGCAGGAGGCAAGGCAGGAGGTGGCGTATATGCCAGGCCGAAAGCTTATGCAAATCAAGACATGCCGCACACATCACTTTGTTTTACCAGCCATGCACCACCCCCCCATGCCCCACGCCCCTTGCAGCAGGAGCTTGTCAAAACTTGGTTTTTTCCCCACTCCCTAAAAAAAATCCAAAAAAAGAGAGCACAAAAAAGTGCATATTGTTTGGGAATAGAGACCCAGGAATTGCTGCTGGCAGGAGCAACACTTTCTGCTGGAGTTGATTTTTGCATATTTCCTGGCGATAGTGCGCGATGTGGCATTAGTCTCCAGTGAACTGGCACATAAAAGCACAGTTATGGACTGATTGTCGGGCTGCCCCACTGCTATCCGACGTACGTGTAAATTGCCAGCCATCTATAGGGCTTGGGCTCTGGCTCGGGCCACTGTCTGTGGCATCAGGCAGCAGGCAGCAAGTGTTAGTATTTCAAACTTTTGTTCAATAAGATTTATATGACTGACAGGCAGGGGCCAGCACGGGGGGAGGGGGCATGTGGGGGGGGCAAAACAAGTTTTGATTTTCGATTCTAGTTGGCATTTTTTTTTTGTTCTTTTCTTTTCTCACAGCTTAACTGGGATGCAGGAGAGAGGTCCTGGTCCTTTTTTTTGGGAGAATTGTTTGCAGCAATTGTTTGGAGGATATTCGTGAGCTTCGTTGGGGGTTTTGTAGGGCTTTAATTGAATGAAAATTGTGATAGGAATTGATGGTATTTTTTTGGGAAACTTAAGACTTGAAAATTATGGGTATTCATGGCCCTAGCACCCATTGAAATACCTGGAGATACCACAGGATGCTTCATGGATTTTCATTGTTGGACTACAGCCATCGTGGGGGAGAGAGAGAGAGAGCATTGAAGATTGTTATTTTGCTCGGCGGCAAGGTATTAACAGTATAACGAGGCCCCTCCCCCCACTCGAAGCTGCACACGCACACACAGACAACACAATGCTGGAGGACATACCAGCAGCCTATCCAATACATTGAAATATCTCTCTGTCTCTCACGGCGCCGCCCGGTTATTGAAACCACTGGAGCGCGCACTGTGGCGCAGATATAGATGGGGGGGGCGGGGTGGAGGGTCCGTTCATAGGTCTACAATAATTGCCTGCACTTTAAGTGCGCCATTAGTACTAAATTACAGACAGCAGCAGCGGCGGCAGCGGCAGCAGCAGCACCCAAGCGGCAGCTAACGGCGCGGTCTAATTACGCGCTCACCTGCAGCACCCCCCACCCTCCACCCACCACCCACTCCTCCTAGGAGCAGCAGCAGCAAAAGTAAAGTGCGCTAATGGCAATTAGAAGTTTTAAACTCCACCCCCCGCCAGCAGTCGAAAAATGAGTGTAACGGCTGCCCAGAAGAGAGGAAAATCGTGAAGCCCGAAAACTGTAAAACTGGGAAGCTGCTGCATTATTGAACATTTGGCTAATTGCCGTATAATTATTGCAGTTACAAAAATTTAGCCGGCAGCACAAAACCTTGACCCCGTGAGGGGGGGGGGGGGACAACACTTGCACCAGTCCTGCAGTAAGCCGCAAACATTTGAGGCAGAGACAATGACAGAGAGGGGCTGGGGAGGGGAGGGGGTGTTGGCAGCTGGTTGGCCTCCCATCTAATGCAAATATTATGGCAAAATCTCATAATTAAGATAAGCATGTCGGTTGAGTGGTTTTAATGAAAATCAAACAATTGCCAAATGCAACAATCACACAAAGAGAGAGGGAGAGGGAGAGAGAGAGAGAGAGAGAGAGGTAGAATGCACTACAATTTCGCATCTGGTCTCCGTTTGGTACTTGGCCCTCTGCTGTGTATCTCTGCCTTAATATTTAATTAATGCTTAGGCCGTGTTTGCTGCTGCATCATTGGTAGTCATGACTACAGCACTGCACTGCACTAGCCCTCCCCCCCGTCCCCACCAGCCTAATTATTTTGGGCCCAGACTCGGGCTCTCCGGCGCCACATTACAAGAGGTCTTTGAATGTGTTTGCCCCACAACAATAGCAACAGCAACAACAACAACATGAACTAATGAACCGAAGCTCTAATCCATAAAATACATTGAATGGAGCCCGGCTGCAGTGCAGTGCATGACATTAGACTTGACCAATGGACTGGCTGCAGTGGGAGGGAGAGGCATACATGCGGCAGGGGGAGGGAGAGCTGGAAGCAGAGCTGCGGCAGGGATTCCATTTTGATGGCCTGGCTGACCAGGAAGACGCCTTTAGAGACGGCCCCGTTTTGTCTCTCTTTGCAGCAAATTTTGACAAAGTTTAATGTCATACAGCTATGAATGGAGCGGTCTCTTGATTGCAAATGAAAATACATACCCGTACTGTGGGCTCACAAATAAACACAATACTTCATGGCGGCGGCGGCAGCGGCTATTCCTCTGCCTTGCCAGGCGAAAGAGACGGTGAAAAGAAACCATGAAAAGTATGTTGTTGCAATTTGCATTGGTTTCTGCTGCTGGCGGGTGATCGGTCGGCAGATAACTTCGGCTATTCGGCAGGCAGAATGCAAAGCAAAAAAAAGCACACAGCTATTTTGTTGTTTTATTGCTGGCTCGCTTTCGCTGGCAGCGATGCTCGTGGCGGCGTCGTTCGGTCTGCATTCTGCTCGTGGCGGCGACGCTGCTGCGACGCGCTGCCGAAGTGATCGTCGGAATCCACGAAGAGTAACCGAGTGTCAGCGTCAGAGCGCATTAACATTATGCTAACAGAAAGCGTTTAGCAGTGCCGGTAACAGTCTTTTAATCTGGACGCGCTGCCCACAAGGATCGTAGGAACCCGTGTACCGAGTGTCACTGAGAGTGTATTAGCTATTAGGATCAAAGTTCATAGAACTTAGTAGGTTCCGCTTGCTCTATCAAACCATATTCGTAAGGCAGTCTAAACTGAAATTTCATTAGAAACACATTTATCAGTCGAGTTCACAAATTTTCTTTTGAAAATGTATGCAGCGTAAGTAATCGTCAGGGGAAACTAAACTTCTAAGATACCCTCTAAAACGCTGCCGCTTTCTTTCAGTCGCTGCGTGAAACGAGCGATGCCTCGGTTTACGCTTCACGTGCATCACATTCTGGGCCAAAAGCCATTGATGAAGACTCGCCAGATGCCGATGTTCTATACATTTCGTTACCTGGGCGCCAAGGATGGTGGAAAGCCGCCAGTTGCTGCTGCAGGAGGAGGCGGTGGCAAGGCGCCAGCTGCTGCAGGAGGAGGCGGTGGCAAGGAGCCAGCTCCTGCAGGCGGAGTCGGTGGGATGCAGCCAGCTCCAGACGGAGGCGGAGCAGCAGTCGTTGAGATGACGCCGCCGGCAGTTATTTTGAAGATAATCAAGGCCAGGATTGTGCCCGAACTCAGCTACGACGATCGCAACATGCGACTGGGGCGCGTTATGTCGCCGGCTCTGACGATCTACAAGAAACAGCTGACGTCGGTGCTCTCCATCCTGCTGCGGATGTCAGGCTTCGCCCTGACGCTGTTCGTGTGGGGACTCGGCCTCACGGGCCTCTTCTCGAAACGCACCCTCGCCGAGTGGGCGGAGAAGGTGAACGAATGCGATGTGCGTCGCAATGTCGTGAGTGGCATGAAGTTCGTGATGATCTTTCCGTTCGTCTATCACGTGGTGGCCGGCACTCGCCATTTGATCTGGCATTTGGATGTGTTCCTCACCAAGCCACAGATCTATGCCACTGGCTATTTGGCCGTTGTGTTGACCTTTGTCCTGGCTGGAGGCATGACCATGCTGAACGTTGGGGAAGAGGTCAAAAAGGATGTTGTGGACATGACGGACGAGAAGCACTACAAACAGAAGAAGGCCGAGGAGAAGAAGAAGGCAAAGGAGGAGGCAAAGGCCAAGGCCAAGATGGAGGCCGAAAAGAAAGCCCAGGAGAAAGCTCTGGCCAAGGAGCAGAAGAAAGCCCAGGCCAAGGAAGCCGACGGCAAGGCCAAGGAACCACCAAAGTAGGTTTCCAAAAAAAGCCCCGCCCCAGAAATGTTAATAAATGGATTTAAAATATTTTCTATATTTATTTTGAAGCAATTTGCACTCCATTTTCCGGCCAAAAGTTCCGTCCATTTCTGTATTAAGAAATTATTCGAGGCATAAACTTGGCTTTCAGCTCGAAAGATGGTAATTAAAGGCCATGGAAAAGTTTTCTGTGGCTCGAAGGAAAAATATGAATAAGAATCTAGTACGATGCTTGTGCGGGCACGCCCATAGGCATTTTTCCACTCCACTTGTCGTCGGTGTGTGTGTGTCGGTGTGTGTGTGTCGGTGTGTGTGTGCGTGTGGCAACAATTGTGCTTGCGGCTTTGGCTGCAACTTGGCCAACTTTTGTGGCCAGCTGCACGCAATGCAACAGCCACACGGGCCACACAGGAGCCCCATAGTGTTTTCCAAATGAGTTCAAGGCTTTTTTGGGGTTTTCCCCTTTAATTATGAACCACTCAACGCCAGTCAAGTGTGGCTGTTGCCATTATTGTTGCCCCTCTGCCCCGCCTGCCCCCTGCTTGTGCTTGTGCCACCCACTTGCACTCTCTTGCCCCTCAAGTTCAAAATGGGCGAAAGTTTTGTTAATTTTTCTCTGTTTCTGTTTTCTAGAGCGAAGGGATTTCTATCCTTCTGCGGATAGAAATGTTTTTGGGGGGTAAATCTATGCCAGACAGGCCTCATTATGCTGCTAATGGTTTTTTGTGCAGCTCCAACTTTTACAGGTAATTATCGACACTTTGCTTGTGGTCCTGAGGTCCTGAGGTTTCCATTTCCCATTTCCCATCGCTTTGCTTTGCAGTCGAAAAGTTAAGCACTGCATTGAGGCAGGGCGGGGCAGGGGCAGGGCAGGGCAGGGCAGGGCAGGGGCTGTCCACCGATTTGTGGAAGATATACAACACTTTTGTCTGTTCTCTGCTGCTTTTTGGGGGGTAATTAGGTGTGTCTGTGCCCCCCTGCCATATGGCCCCAAAAACAGCTGATGATAACACTGCGTATGCTTGATATTCCCTTGGAGGGGAAACTGCACTCAAGTGTGAAAGTAGTTATTGAAAGTGTTTTTTTAAAGGGTTTTTTACTGCTTAAAGGTTTTAAAAATTGATTGAAAGAATTGTGGGTGGAATTTTATATTTTGATTAATTATTTTTAATATTCAAAATATACATATTTACGATTAAAATTATATATTTTCGTGTGCTCAAAAAATATTTGGCCTAAAAATGCAATTAATTTAATTTAATTTCAAATAAATATAAATAATATGCGTTTATTTAATCTATGTTTAATAGACGTTGAAATAAATTTGTACTCATTATATATTTTTTATTTTTGTACGTCATTTTGATTATAAAATTTAAAATAAATAAAATAATATAAATAAATAATATAATATATATAAATTAAAAAATTCATTCAATAAATATATAAAAAAAAAGAGTTACAATTAATGTACTAAAAATATATATTTCATATATAACAAAATATTTCCAGTAAATAATATTATTTTATATATTTAATTCAAAAATTACTTTTTTTAATAATAATATTTAAATATTTCAATTAAATATGAGTCATATTAAAAAAACTTTTTAATACATTTAATGTTTAAATAAAAGTGAACTCTATTTAATTGCTATATTTTTATATCTAAAAATTAAATATTTAATTTTAGTTAAATTAAATTAAACTTTTTAAACATTTAAAATTAATTAAATATTTATATAAATAAATTGCACTATAGCATTTTTCTCTAAGTACCACAAAAACGATTGATTTTCAGGTTATCCCCCGATGAAACGTTGAAATCTATTGTTTCTTTCGAATTTCGATTAAAATTCCATTAGATTTCCGTTTATTTTTGAACAAATATCTTCCTAATCATTAGCTTTTTGTGTAATTAACTTTGTGACAGAGAAAGCGCTTTCGTTACTATATTTTAATTAAATATTTATTCAGATCTCAAATTACCTTTCATTCTGCGGCCCCCCCTCTCCCCTCCTCAAGAGGCTCCTGTGATGTGGGATATGGGAAGGTGGGTCTTTCCTCCACTATTCGACGAGACGGCCACTAAATTTTTATGCATGTCGCTTAAGTGCCGAAGCAAATAGCCGACTGGCAGCGATTTTAATTGAAAAATATTTACCCCACACTAAAAGTTTTTTTTTGGCGGGGGGTGGGGTGAGAGTCGTGACGTTTTGACGCGGCCGCGACGACCCAATGATTCCCCCTTCCCACCACAGAATCTCCCATTTTCCACTGTTAGGAATTTTCTATAGTGGGGGAGGGGGTGGCTGATGGGAGGGCTGGGGGGTGGGTTTAATTAGTGTGCGTTGGTCGGCGACGGCTACGTTTTGCTGCTGTGTAAACTTCAATTAATATGCGAATGAAATCCGCTTAAAACAAAAGGAACCAGCGAACCAGGGAACCGGGGAATACGGGAAACGGAAAATCTGATGGAAAATGCTGCCAATCAAGGACCCACCCCTCCCCGCCAACCATTTTCTCGAGTGATTTGCGACATTTTGTCATTTTTGCTGATGCAAAGCCCACGACACTCGAAGGAACTTCGGGATGGAGAGGGAGAGGGAGTAAAGAAGGAGATGGAGCCAAGTGGAGAGCATGGAGACCGGTGGAGACATTCAAGTACACTAATTAAGATCAAACGTTTTTCGAGGGTCCAAAATGAGATTTTATCGAACGAAAGCCGCCATCCCCCGCCCATTCAAACCATTCACGAGTGTATTCACGAGTATATTCATATTAAATATCGCATAATGAAGTGTCAGCACAAATGACACCATCCCCTGCCCACTCGCCCAATCAAAGATTAACGTCAAAAACTTGGGAGGCTGCGAGTGTCCCCCCACCCCCCACCTCATTGTTTGTCGCTGTTTTTTGGCCCCAGGCGGCGGCGATCAAGAGGTAAAAGGCGTCTTTAAGTAAGTCCTGGAGGCCCAGGTCGCTTCGGTAATTAATGAAAAAGTAGGCAGAGCGAGAGAGTGGGAGAATTTAACTAATTAAAGCCCCTTAATAAAGTTAATGGATTTCATTCGTCCTCAGACCTTAGTCGAGTGTCCAATGAGCTGTGATGAGAGCCTTTTGTCTACCTCTCTCTCTCATATTCTCTCTTTATATTAAACCTTATTCATCTTCTTTTTTTTTGTTTTCTTTTTTTAACATTTTTATTCCCTTTTTTCTGTTTTCTTTTTTAATTTGAAAATATTTGCCATCATTTTGCATTTGTACTAAATGAGGTGTGGCCCTAGCAATGACAATTGAATGCCCTTGAAACGGGTCTCTGAGCTATGAAGAGGAAGAGGCAGTAAAGACTGGAGTTTATTTGTAATTTTGATTGTAGAAACACCACACGAATATGCCATCGTTCAAAGCGAATTCACTGATAGATGTCGTCGCCCGATTCACTTTTTCAACTCGCTCTCAGAGACACAAGCGCTAGAAAGGGATAGCAAACGTTTTCCGGATGGACTCGGAGCACCTTGTCCTCGGGGACTCTCTTCGGCTCCTACCGATCTACTTGGGCAGCGCGTCGCAGACCGAACGACGCCGATACGAGCATCGCTGCCAGCGAAAGCGGGCCAGCAATACAACAACAAAATAGCTGTGTGCTTTTTTTGCTTTACATTCTGCCTGCCGAATAGCCGAAGTTATCTGCCGACAGATCACCCGCCAGCAGCAGAAACCAATGCAAATTGCAGCAACAATTTTTCCTAGTTTCTTTTCCCCGTGGCCTTCGTCTGGCAAGGCAGAGGAATAGCCGCCGCCGCCATAAAGTATTGTGTTTATTTGTATGTGGCCCCATAAAGTATGACATTTGTCTGTATTAAGTGCGGCGACAGATCAGCAGCGTCGGCAGAGGAATTGCAATAACAAATTCTCGCCTTTGGAGATGTGAATGGACATGCAAGGGCTTGGCAGCGGCATAGATCGAGAATCGCTGCTGCGTTTCTGTCTTTTTGCAGGGCATTTCACATTTCACCTGGGACTACACGCCTCTTTCTGGTAACTGGTTTATAAATAAACATAATTGAAATAAACTGAACTGTGATTATTCTTTTGTTTTGTGTGCTGTGTACTTACTCGTATTTTCGTTCTTAATTACAGGCCCCGGCCGCGAAAGGTGAGTGCCGATAACTAGGCAAAAAGTTTCGATGTGCCGTTGCGTAATTTGATGCCTCCGAATGTTAATTACAATTTTCTGTGTTAAGTATTAAAGATAGATGTTTAATTTACCCTGAAAATTGTGCGTTTTTTTTTTGTTTGTTTGTAATTCAATACAGGAGCGGAAAACCCCACCTAGTTTATCAAATATTTATGGGGACCACGAAGAACGAAAATGTTGAAGCAAATTTCAGTTTTATGAAGGGATTCGTTGGGGTATTCCTAAACATTTATGACACACCGAACCCCCAAACTGTTGGAGCGGGAGCTTCGAAATTTAAACGTACATAAATATATGAAAAGTTAATTTGAAAAAATCTCTCTTTTGACAGCAGTCAAGGTTGTTCCTTGGGGTCCCCCCCCACTGCTTCTACTCCCACACCTACTCCTATTTCTGCTGCTGTTTCTATGGCTATTGCTTTTGCTCCTGGAGTCGCAGTCAGTCACTTGCAGGATGCTGTCGTCCTGCAGCTACACACATGACATGACACACACACCCACACACACACACACACACACACAGAGGCAAACATGCAGAGTAAACGATGAAAAATGTGCGAGAAAAAAAAAATCGAATGTACGCGAGAGAGAGGGTCCTGCTGGTGCTTCCTGCTGCTTTTGCTCGTCCTAGTGATGCTCCTGATGCTCCTCCTGCTGCTGCTCTTCCTTCTGATGCTCCTCCTGGAACGTCCTGCTGCTCCTCCTCCTGCTCTTCCTTCTGCTGCTCGTCCTGCTGTTTATATAGCACCCCCTCCTGGGCGCCCCCCCCCCCCCCCCACGTGTATAAATAACACGGTAACATTTTAAATCAGTCGACTGAATGCAGGAAAACGCCAAAACGAAAAGCTCAAACTGTT